GAACTACCTTCGGATGCAGCGAAAAGCTGCTCTATGGATCACGGGTGCCTTCCGCACCTCCCCCACAGGCGGTCTTGAGGCCTTGGCAGGTCTCATCCCGTCCACCTTATGCTGAAGAAGTTGGCAACACGCGCAGTGTATCACCTCGCCACACTCTCAGACACCCACCCTCTTTGCTCCATGTTGGGCAAGGGACTCCTCAAACGGGCGGTACCACATGCCCACCCAGCCACCTTGATGACCCCAGCCATGCGAGGGAAAGTCAAGAGCACCGTCATGGAGGTGGATGAACGTGTCCACACCTTAACTGAGAGCTTCGAGCCTTTTGCGCCTGAAGCTCGCCCAGACGATCGGTTACTGGACCGCTATGCAGACCGTCTCCACTTTGATGAGCACGATCCTACCCAGGATAGGTGACCATATCTCAACAAGCTCATTGCAAAAGCGAGGGCCGACCCATTAACAGTACTGGCTGCAACTGATGGCTCCGTCCCTCAGTCCAATCAGTATCAGGTGGCTTCAGCTGCCATCATCTACAAGGGACATTGTGAGCTCGAAAGGACTCGCTATGTCTCTGGCAGGGTTACCGCCCCAGATGCGGAACTCAATGCCATCTTGTGCGCAGTGCGCCTTGCTGTCAAGCAGGCAAACTGCCAACATATTATGGTCTTTACTGACTCTATGGGCTTGGCCCATAGAGCGGTCGACCCCAGTGTGCACTCTGGTCAGGCTTTTAGCCTGTCAGTCTGTCGCGTCCTTCAAGAGTGGTTTGAGGTGGACGATCTCCGCCGCATCACCTTTATTTACGTTCCATCTGCTCTGCGGTGGGATATTCATGGTGAGGCACACAGGTACGTCACCGAACTCAAAGTTAGGGTTGGACGTTGCAAGACGGACAACTCTATAGATGCGCTACGCTCACGGGCTGCGCACTCAGTCCTGGATTTGTGGGGTTCCACTTTCCAGGATCCAACCTACCGAGGCTCTGAATTCTTAGAGCTTCAACAGCCTGACGGGCAGCCGCTACAGCCATTGTACCTCAATGGGGGACCTTGGCTTTCAACATTCGGACACAGTATTTCTGAGTTCGCCCGCATGTGCTGGTGTATAACTGGCCACGCGCCCATTGGAGTGTATTACCGTCGCTTCAAGATCAACGAGCCTCATGGCTGCACTTGCGGGGCTGCTCTGCAGTCCTGTCAGCATATCCTCTTTCACTGTCATGATCAATATTCTGTACATTATCCCCGTTTTCTTGGGGATATTGCATCGTTTATGAAGTACAACCCTACAGTGTTTGGCTTCAACCGGGACCCTTCGGGTGTTGGATAATCGTTGCAGGCGGGGTTATTCCTCCTCTTGGAGGATTTATCAGTGAATTGACACCCTCAGACCCTAGGGTTTGGAGACCTGCACCCGCCTCACTTTTTCATGCTTGTGGCTGCTATTATAGTGGGTTGCAGCGCCACTAACTTTCTGCCTCTGGTTTCGGGCAGGCACATCTTTGGCTTGTCGGCCTTAAGACACCCTGCCACCTCCCAGGTGGTGTTGTTCTTATCTCATTCGCGCTACGTGGCCTCCGAACAGCGATCAACAACTTTGGGGCATAGCAGAACCTCGATGGTTTCCTCCCCTTATCCCGATGCACTGTTTTCGCGAGGTGGGTTGCCCTCTGGGGAGTTTCGGCGTTTGAGCCCAAAGGGTCTTGGTTGGGGGGGCGGTCGTCCTTAAGTGGTTAACTTAGTAACCAGATTGCATAGCGTGCGTGTTTGTAGATAGCGAGCAGGCTGCCATCGAGCACCGCTATATAAATTGTTGATCAAAAAAAAAAAAAAAAAAGGGGATGGGTGAATTTGGATCGACAGATGGTCATATCAATGACTTTGATTGGGTTGCAGCAATGACTTCAATGATTGCGAATAACAATCTGCCAAGCAACTATGAACCTGGAAGATTCCACCTTTTAGCTCTCAGATGCTACTTTGTTCTGCAGCCTTTAATGGTCATGACCTTCTGCAGTCTCACTCGACATGGTGGATCTCCTCCAATCGCACCTCCAGGCGAGGAAGTAGCACATGACACTCTTCGATTTGCCTTGGTCTCACGGCCTGGGTACTAAGTAAACTACTAAAAGACATCCGCCCCCCCAACTGCGAGCCTTGTGGCTCAAACGCCGAAACTCCCACAAAGCCAGACCCACCTCACGAAAACGGTGACACGGGATAAGGGGAAGAGACCATCAGAACTTTTCAATTCCGCCAGAAATTTCTGGCTATATGTAAGCTTATTCTGAATACTTGATGAGCAGATTATTTATAAAGATTTTAGCAGATATGATGGCACATCAGTTTCTGAATTAGCAAATTATGCTATCAATGGAGCTGTTATCATGGAGCCTCAATCACTCGTCAATTTTTTATTCAACAATATGTATCTTTTAGTGCGGTACTTTGGAACACAACTTCCATTTGAAGAATTTGACATTGATCCTGTCAAACTCATGTCCTCAATTACTGTAAAGCATAAATGACAAGATATCTCTCCTTGTCATTGGCTAGAAGCACCCAGAAAGAACTCAAACCATAAAACGCTATTGCTCAAGATGGTTGACTACATGGAGAAGCATTCAAAGTACATGCCATCTCAAGTCGAGGTTGACTTTGATTTAATGAGAAGAGAAATTGAGGAAGGACAACTGGGAATTGCTCAAAGAAAGAAGAAGAATGATACTCAAGTTCCAAAAAATACTTCTAAGAGAAAACCAAATAATGCTAATGATAGTGGGTACCTTCTATTATATGATTTATTTGCTGAATCTCATTATATTCATATAATCAGATTCATCAAACAAGAAGCAAAAAACAGTTTCCACTCTGGTTTATACAACTCCAGCTGACAAAATGGGAGGAATGATGGCTCATGACCTGCGTGCATTCTGGTCAGGCTTTTAGCCTGTCAGTTTGTCGTGCTCTTCAAGAGTGGTTTGAGGCGGATGATCTCCGCCGCATTACCTTCGTCTATGTCCCATCCGCACTGCGGTGGGATATTCATGGTGAAGCACACAAGTATGTCACCGAACTCAAAGTCAGGGTTGGACGTCGTAAGACAGACAACTCTATAGACGCGCTTTGCTCTCGAGCGGCGCACTCAGTCCTAGATTCGTGGAGCTCCACTTTCCAGGATCCAACCTACTGAGGATCTGAATTCCTAGAGCTTCAACAGCCTGACGGGCGGCCGCTACAGCCATCGTACCTCAATGGGGGACCTTGGCTTTCAACTTTCAGACACAGTATCACTGAGTTCGCTCGCGTTTGCCGGTGTATAACTGGCCACACGCCCATTGGAGTGTATTACCGTCGCTTCAAGATCAACGAGCCTCATGGCTGCACTTGCGGGGCTGCTTTGCAGTCCCGTCAGCATATTCTCTTTCGCTGTCGCGATCGCTACTCCGTGCACTACCCCCGATTCCTTGGGGACATTGCAGCTTTTATGAAGTACAACCCTACGGCGTTTGGCTTCACCCGGGACCCTTCGGGGGTCGGATAATCCTTGTGGGCGGGGTTGTTCCTCCTTTCGGAGGATTTATGGTGAATTGACACCACCGAGCCCTAGGGTTCGAAGACCTGCGTCCGCCGCTTTTTCTTTGTGCTTGCGGCCGCTATTGTAGCGGGTCGCAGTGCTGCTAACTTTCTGTGTCTGGTTTCGGGCAGGCGCTTCTCTGGCTTGTCGGCCTTAAGACATCTTGCCACCTCCCGGGTGGTGCTGTTTTATTTCATTTGCGCTGCGTGGCCTCCGAACAGCGTCCGACGGCTCTGGGGTTTAGCGGGGCCTCGATGGTCTCCTCTCCTTATCCCGCGTCACCGTTTTCGTGAGGTGGGTCTGGCTTTATGGGAGTTTAGGCGTTTGAGCCATAAGGCTCATGGTTGGGGGGGCGGATGTCTTTTAGTAGTTTACTTAGTACCCAGGCCGCGTAGTGTACGTGTTTGTAGATAGCAAGCGGGCTGCCACCGAGCACCGCTATATAAATTGTTGAATAAAAAATAAAAAATAATAATAAAAATAAATGATGGCTCATGACCTGGCTGAATTTTATATATTTGAATCACCAGGTAAGAGTATCAAACATATTGCACTTATAAAATGTGCTGAATATAGTATAAGCATCTCAGTCAAAAGGAAAGGAAAAAGCTGTCTTCAGTAATGTAAACATGGTATGTGTTTCACCCTATCTGGTACAATTGTGCACTTATTAATATATTATTCCAGCATAATGAAGAAGATGAGCGGCTAGAAGAAGTACATTTATTTTTTAAACAAATTGTTGTTTATTCTAAAGCAAAAATCTCAGAGCGATACTTCACAAAGTGAATTTGAGGACGATACTCCAGCAAATGCAAAACCCTTACAGAAGATATGGCTTGATCCTAAAGAAGAGCTACAATACACTGTTTTTACAATGCCAACAATGTCAACTTGAACTCATGAAAATATCCTATCAGATGTCAACATGGATGCTGATGGTCCTACACCATATTCTGGTAAGAAATATTAATTCATATTCCTATTTGTTGACTAAGTTCAAATTGTTCAGGCCCTTTTGCATCAATTAACATCAATACTATTGTTGATATAATTGAGAATATTCAGTATGGTATTGCTGCTCGTATAGAGGAAAAGCAACAGAAGGAATCTCAAACAACTGGAAATATCTGTGCCGACACTTTGCATGCCATTTCAGAGAAACCTGACAGTTGGACAACCACAAAGAAGCTGGCATCATTTTGGACTGATTTTGAATATATTGTCAAACAAGCTCATACTTCAAATCTGGAGACCATGATGATGAAAAGTTGTATAATGTATACATCATGGAAAATCCACACTTGGCTGAAAAACATCATTCTGGAAGTAGATGGGCACAAGATTTTTTTTTTTTGATCAACAATTTATATAGCGGTGCTCGATGGCAGCCTGCTCGCTATCTACAAACACGCACGCTATGCAATCTGGTTACTAAGTTAACCACTTAAGGACGACCGCCCCCCCAACCAAGACCCTTTGGGCTCAAACGCCGAAACTCCCCAGAGGGCAACCCACCTCGCGAAAACAGTGCATCGGGATAAGGGGAGGAAACCATCGAGGTTCTGCTATGCCCCAAAGTTGTTGATCGCTGTTCGGAGGCCACGTAGCGCGAATGAGATAAGAACAACACCACCTGGGAGGTGGCAGGGTGTCTTAAGGAGCGTGTGCCTTGGCCACAAGCCACCTGAAACCAGAGGCAGAAAGTTAGTGGCGCTGCAACCCACTATAATAGCAGCCACAAGCACGAAAAAGTGAGGCGGGTGCAGGTCTCCAAACCCTAGGGTCTGAGGGTGTCAATTCACTGATAAATCCTCCAAGAGGAGGAATAACCCCGCCTGCAACGATTATCCAACACCCGAAGGGTCCCGGTTGAAGCCAAACACTGTAGGGTTGTACTTCATAAACGATGCAATATCCCCAAGAAAACGGGGATAATGTACAGAATATTGATCATGACAGTGAAAGAGGATATGCTGACAGGACTGCAGAGCAGCCCCGCAAGTGCAGCCATGAGGCTCGTTGATCTTGAAGCGACGGTAATACACTCCAATGGGCGCGTGGCCAGTTATACACCAGCACATGCGGGCGAACTCAGAAATACTGTGTCCGAATGTTGAAAGCCAAGGTCCCCCATTGAGGTACGATGGCTGTAGCGGCCGCCCGTCAGGCTGTTGAAGCTCTAAGAATTCAGAGCCTCGGTAGGTTGGATCCTGGAAAGTGGAACCCCACAAATCCAGGACTGAGTGCGCAGCCCGTGAGCGTAGCGCATCTATAGAGTTGTCCGTCTTGCAACGTCCAACCCTAACTTTGAGTTCGGTGACGTACCTGTGTGCCTCACCATGAATATCCCACCGCAGAGCAGATGGAACGTAAATAAAGGTGATGCGGCGGAGATCGTCCACCTCAAACCACTCTTGAAGGACGCGACAGACTGACAGGCTAAAAGCCTGACCAGAGTGCACACTGGGGTCGACCGCTCTATGGGCCAAGCCCATAGAGTCAGTAAAGACCATAATATGTTGGCAGTTTGCCTGCTTGACAGCAAGGCGCACTGCGCACAAGATGGCATTGAGTTCCGCATCTGGGGCGGTAACCCTGCCAGAGACATAGCGAGTCCTTTCGAGCTCACAATGTCCCTTGTAGATGATGGCAGCTGAAGCCACCTGATACTGATTGGACTGAGGGACGGAGCCATCAGTTGCAGCCAGTACTGTTAATGGGTCGGCCCTCGCTTTTGCAATGAGCTTGTTGAGATATGGTCACCTATCCTGGGTAGGATCGTGCTCATCAAAGTGGAGACGGTCTGCATAGCGGTCCAGTAACCGATCGTCTGGGCGAGCTTCAGGCGCAAAAGGCTCGAAGCTCTCAGTTAAGGTGTGGACACGTTCATCCACCTCCATGACGGTGCTCTTGACTTTCCCTCGCATGGCTGGGGTCATCAAGGTGGCTGGGTGGGCATGTGGTACCGCCCGTTTGAGGAGTCCCTTGCCCAACAGAGGGTGAGAGTGGGCTAAGATACACTGCGCGTGTTGCCAACTTCTTCAGCATAAGGTGGACGGGATGAGACCTGCCAAGGCCTCAAGACCGCCTGTGGGGGAGGTGCGGAAGGCACCCGTGATCCATAGAGCAGCTTTTCGCTGCATCCGTTTCAACTGGTTCATTGTGCCCTTGTTGGGCGCCATCGAAATACCAGAGACGATAGCCGTATGTGGCAATGGGAACCACGCACGATCTATATAAGAGGTGTCGCTGTTTAGGCAAGAGACCTCTTGTAGAGTTTCTGAGCATGCACATGGCCTGCACAGTGGTGAACACCTTGGTGGTGTAGTAGCGGACGTGCTCATGGAATGTGAGCCCATGGTCAAAGTAGAAGCCCAAGTACCTCCAATAGGTCTTGGGCTTCAAGGGTGTAGTGCCGGTATGCAGGGTGTATCCCAAATCCAGTGAGGGATTGTAGGTGTCTCGTTGACACGAAAAGTGAAACAGCTCGGTCTTGTCGTGTTCAAGAACGAGTGTGAAGGCAACAAAGAGAAGGTAGATAATCTTGTAGGCCTTATGCAGGCCCACATTATTATCATCAAGTTGTTTGGATTGGGCCAAAATGGTCCCATCATCCACAAAGGAGAGTAGCGTCATGTTGAGCGGTGCCGCCTTGATGTAGAAGAGCTTCATTACCGGAGCAATGAAAAGCCCTGAGATAACAGGCGAGAGAGCAGAGCCCTGCCCGACACCCATGTCTGCAGACCACGAGTCAGATTGGAAGGTGTTCCAACAGTACACTGTGGACCAACCAACAAGGTAAGAGGCAAAGAACTCCACCAAAATGGGCGAGAATCCTTGCTTGTGAAGTACAGCCATGAACATCTCATGGTTGATAGAAGGGAAGAACTGCGCGATGTCAAAAGCCAGCGCGCTAGTCTGGAGACCCTTAACCCACCCTGCATGCACAAGATGAGTCAGAATCAATCCAGCATCCTCAGTTGACCTTTGGCGAATGCCACCAAGCTGGTTAGGATGAAAGATATCATGCTTGACAGCATCAAACTGTATCCTATTGGCAATCATCTTTTCGATAAGTTTACCGAAAGTGATGAGGAGTACGACCGGCCTGAAAGCCTTTGGCACAGCATAGGAGGGCTTGTTCGGCTTCGGAACGATAACTGACAGTGACTCCTTGAATATACGAGGCCAATGACCCACCCGGAGGCAAGCATTGGCCAACACGATGAAGAGCGCAAGGACATGTTTATCCTTGAGCAACTCCTTTAGGTGGACCCATGTGATATGGTCCGGTCCTGGTGCAGAGGAGTTGGAGCACCCCTTAAGGGCGCTCAACAACTCATGCTCCGAGAAGTCAGCCCACTTGCAGACTGGCTCATCAGGAAGCTTGTCTAATACAGAGGCGTCATACTCCTGACCAGAAGCCGAATTGTACGTGCCGTGAAGGGCATCCCAAAGGTCGTCCATATCATCACAAGGCTGGTCGCCATTGCGAATAGCCTCACAGGGTGGTAGCTTGCGCTGTTTGACCCATTCCATTAGGTCCCACGGATGCTTGCGAGAAGTGGTGATCTCTGCGACACATTCATCAAAGAAATCACACTTGGCGGCTTTACATGCCTTCTTGAATTTGTTGTAATCAGTGAGCGATCAGCTCAACTGATACACTCCGAATGTTTCTGAGCACTCGTCCGTCCACCAGGACTTGGAGCGCTTGGTAGGTCTGGACTCGGTCAAGTGGGCAAGCCACGCGTCTGAGAACGCTGTCGCGATAGCATCAGCTAAAGCTTCAATGCCTTCCTTGGTTGCCAGGGCTACAACAGGAATAGCTGCAAGATCCCAGAGGATGTCCAAAATGAAAGACTTCTCAGCCTCGCTTCCAGGTTTAATTGTCTGACGCCCAGATCCAGGCAGTTCAGGACCGACATCAAGATCTGTGCAGATCAGGACATGATCTGACGGACCCTGGAGATCGTGCTCCAATCTGGGCATTGAGATTAAGATCTCAGATGGAGCTAAGAATACAAGATCCAATACGTTGGATCTCTGGTTTGGATTAGGACTGATCCTCGTTGGTCCATGATTAGAAGGTCAGGCCCATTCAAGGCCGATCTGAGATGCAGTGTCCTGCAGGGATATCGCTGTTGATGACTCGCCATGCTCATAGTCATCCCAAGTTGCTGACACACAGTTGAAGTTGCCTGCCATATAAATGAAGGGCGGCAGAGAATGCACACGAGCAGCGAGGTGCTCCAGCCATGTCTGCTAGAAATCTATATCAGACACTGTATTTTAACAAGGTATGCTTATATGTCAGGACTGTGATTTTACAGTCCACCTATGGAGAGGGCCTTGCTGTGTGTGCTGGGGCTCGTGGCTGTGGGCAGGGCATGTCAATACATGCAAACAATGCAGGAAACAGTGCTCGGACACTGTTCCTTGTCATTTGGGGTGCTCATCCCGCCGTGGAAAAGCTGCCAACGATGAGGAAACATATTTCCTCGTCGCTGTGCACCGTTTCCCCCATTGTCGGGGGGCGGGAATGGGTGGATTGGGCCAGGTGCGTTTGGATGATGCGGCCTTTTTTTGGGCCCTTGTACTATTTTTAGATCATCATGTAATTACCATGACACATATGCTATAATGCTCTTGCCAGCGTCTGTCATGATGTCCGGCGAGCTCGGGGGCACCTCAAAGCACACGAAAAAATTATTTAAAAAAATCATATTAAATCGAAATAAAATATATACATGATGCGGGTGGCTCTACCAGCCACCCACTATGTGATAAGGAGATAACGAGTAGAAACGACACATCGTACGCATCGTTTCCACTCCCCTGCCCTTTGCAGCAAAAAATGCACAAAAAAATCATATTAAATTGTACAGGAAAAAAATACAGGATGCAGGTGGCTAGTAGGGCCACCCGCTATAAAATATAGGTAAAATGAGCTAAGTAAGAGNCTCGTGCCCCGTCCTCATTGTCGTGCTGCCGCCGCTGTTTGTCGCCCACTGTCCATCGTCCATCGTCTTTCGTCGCCCACTGTTGTTGTTCATTGCCGCTGTCGTTTGTCACCGCTGTCGTTTGTCACTGTCGTCATGCGTCATTCGTTTT